GGAACTAGCAGGCTGCATACAGATAAGCCAGATTTGTAAAACTAATGTGCACTCAAAACTGAGCTCTAACTGAGCTTTATTGAAAATTTGCATAAGTTCCAAAACGTATTTAATCATGAACATAAAGGACGAGTAGCCAACTGATTGTGACCTGGGTGACATAAAAATATGAGGCCGAACAAAAAATGCGCATTAAATTACGTTTACAATTATTATCCAACATTTACTCCCAGAAACATAAATGAGATTTCTAACGCCCACTTGTAAATAAATAAATAAAAATGGATGGTTTAATTTAAAAAAAAAAACCTTACTTTGTCTCTTCTATTCCCCTTTCTGTCTAGTGCTTTGTATTTCAAGTCTCACATTAATTAAGTAAAATAGGAGGGGGAGTTTTTAGATGTTGGCTTTGTTTAATTTCTTCCAACCGATCTCACATTTTCTCAACCTTTCCCTGCTAAATAAAATACGCTACTTTGTACTTACTTCCACAAGGAGGGTACATCAAAGCAAATTCATTGACCTAGGGGGCGCTTTACTCAGAGGGGGAAAAAGTGAGGGGGGGGGGGGAGTTTTAAAAACGGACGTTAAGCAGTTTTGAAATTAAATGCAGTTGTACTTGTAATGATCTGTTACACTCTATTTTCCCCCAGTTTAATTGTAAATAAAATATTCTGAAAATTTAAAAATGTCCTAAGACGCTATGTTATTTGACACTTAGATTTCTGAGGCTGTTTTTCTCCAAATCATTCAGTTCGACGTTAGTCTCCCTAAGCAAAGTCAGTCAGTTTTCAGTGACAACTTTGTTTGGCTGGTCTATTTTTCTGGAGGTTACGGGTGTGTCCAGCTCTCTAGTTTGGTTTCCTTTATGTCTGGCATTAACGGTTTCATTCAGGGAAAGAGAATGCCTGCGATATACAAGGTCTGGCAGTTAATTAATGAGACTGATTTTATTATGGCCAAGACAAAAATGCCATCTGTGAAGCAAAGTATGGAATCTAAAAAGGCAACATTCATCTATGATCTGACAACTTTTCATCGCCGCTCGATAAGCAGACAGCAAACGAGCCGCCATTTTGTTTACCTAGTCAGAGGTGCATTGTTACGTAATCAGCAGAGAGCAAAAAAGCTAACATTAAATTCTTTTTACAACTCAGGCAGAAAAGGCGCCACTGAAACAGTTGAATTGATGCAACAAGTTTATGGGGATAATATCTCGTGCACACATTTTCAGGTGGTATTCACGATTCAAAAGCGGTGTAGCCATGATTACTAATGCACCAAGACCTGGACGCAAATTAATTGACGAACTCGTTGCAAAAGTCAAGAGAACTGATACAAGAAGATCATTGTTTCACTGTGAGGATGATGACAGATGAAATAGAAAGACCATTCATAACATTTTAGTGCAAGACGTTGTCAAGAAAAATTTTGCTTGTACCATATTCGTTGTTTTATGACCAGAAACATCAGCGGGTTGAGTACCCAAGAGACATCATCAAAACAATGGTTTGCCCCAAAAACACATGTGTGTTCTCGGCCTTTCACCCTATTCCCCAGATTTGTCTCCCTGTGATTCTTTTCTATTCCTAAAATTAAAGTTACGATTGAAAGGACGCTTCTTTGATGATACTGATGACATCGAAAGGGCCGTAACATCAGGGCTTTCTTCAAGTGTTGATTGTTTTAATTCTTTTTGGAATTATTCTCATTAATTACCACGTTTGTTGAGTGTTAAAAGTGTTGCCGTGCGCAAACATAGAACACGCGATATCAACGGTATTGTGGAAATATCCAGTTACTTTGTGGCAAGGTAACGTTGCTCAATGCCGGCCTATCAGAAGTGAGTTAGTGTGTAAATGCGGAGACTAAAGTCGGACTAACCCTCATAGTCTTGTTAATAGTGCTGGAGATTTTTTTTTTTTTTTTGAGTCCTTCTTTTTAATGAACCTTTACTCAGATTAGGAGGTGGGGACTGGGGGACGCCTTGCCCTATATTTATTAGGGGGCCACCTAAAAAAAAAGATAGTTGTTTTATTACCTGTATACTTTTCGTAAGGTGTGTTCAGATACCCACTGCTCGCATTTATTTATCTTTGGTTTAGGTAGCTAGCTATACCATAAAACAACATTCAGTGGATAAGAGGTATAGGTGTGTAAATGGGATCCGTGGATACATGTGTAAATGGGAATGATTGGAGTGAGCGATGTGTCAGTGGAGAGCTGGTCAAATCGGAGTTGATGAATAAGAGATGTGTGTTTGGCAGTTGATGGATGCGATATGTGTAGCTGAGGGGACACAGTCTTCGTCAGTACGTGAGACACATTTAACTTGTTGCAACGATCTAAAAGTTTGATGTACAACACATACACACGCGCGCTTGCTTATATAAGAAGAGTAAATGATAACGGAGAAGAAATCCTAGTAGGAATCACTAGAAAACAGAGTGTAGTTTAGTATTTTTTTTTTTAAAGGAGGCGTTTACTGAAACCGAAGGATAGTTTGGTTTATAAATCTACGCCATGATGGTTTAGGTTAGTCGACGGATCTTCATCATGGCACAAGGGTAGTCACCTATAAGTGCTCCGTTCTACTTCTGACTCAAGCCTAAGCTCGAAGAATCTCAGCGCAGTGCACGAACTCCCTAGTACCGGCGAGGATCCTGAAATACTTTGGGTAGATTTTTAACTCTCATTTTGCCTGGAAGGCGCCGTTAGGCTACTCTTTTTCGATTTCCAAATGCCAAGAGATTTGTTACGTGCGCAAGCGTCCGATCCTAATACCCAGAGACCAGGGGAAACTACTAGAAGTCAACATGAAAAATTCCCAGCCTTCACCGGGGCTTGAACCCGGGACCTCCAGCACTCGAGGCGGACGTCATGCCTATAGACCACGCAGCTCCCCAAACGAACGCAGGATTAAGAAGAGTTATTAAGATAAAATTAAGCGTATGTGCTTTACGTTGAGAATTAATGCATTTTATCTGTGCGCATACGGCAAACAATATTCCAGCCAGGGATTAGACATGAAAAATAAGTGAAAAGTAAAGCCATGTTTAAATACTGATGAATGAAGCATGTCTTACCTGGCAGCTCTTATACAGATGCATTCAACATTTTTACTATTGCAGCTGATTAAATAAATTATGTTTTTTTCTTCAAAATGAAAACTGTTTTTCAACCGCGGTTTTAAGTGTACTTATCAAACAACGAACTTCCGGGAATACTGTTGGGGTAAATAGATTTGAAAACGATCATTTGTGTTAATGAAGGGTGAAAAAGAAAACGAAATGTAGTGTGGAGGAGGGATATTTTATTCCCATTAGATGATATGTTTAAAAACCGTTTTTTTTTTTTTTCTTACCCTGTGACCTAGTTAGACCCTAGTGTGGGTTTGTGGGTCCATTTTAGGCTGTGGGGAAAAAAATGGACGTACTCCCAACAAGCATTCCGTGAAAGATGACTGAATTACAGTTTGCTGAAATCAAATGAGTTATGTCGAAAGGCGCAAATACAGCAGCCTAGACGTAAACAACCATACAGTGTGGCATCCGAACATACAATCTTAATTAAAACTACTGCTTCTTCTTCTTATTTGAAATCGTCCTTAGGACCCTTTTCCACGCCTTTATGCGTATTGGGAATATAGGGCTAGACCTATATTTTTTATAGACCAATCAGTGCTTGGTGGGTGATATGGACAGCAGCACTCTGGCCACCTTTACTTCCCAGGCCCGCACCTGAACGCCTCTTAAGGCTGGGTCGAGGTCATTTTTGAGAAAGGTCCGGCTCTGTCAGGACGTGAACTTAAATATTGTTTGCCATCACCTAATTATATGTATTCTTGCAACACCAGTTGTCATAACCTAAATACTTACATTCTTGTTGCAATTTCGGTTGTTATTACATAACAATTTGCAGTCGGATGTCATCAGCTAATTACTGGCAGGGTTTTTTCAGTGATGGCTGTGATTACCTATTACTGGCAACGCTTTTTTTTTTTTTAGCAATGGTTGTCATCACTTGCAACATTTTTTGCAATGTTGGTTTTCATTACCTATCATTTGCACCGTTTTTGTTTTGTTGCTATGTTGTTTGTCATTACCTATTATTTACACCGTTTTTGTGTGTGTTGTTGTTGCAATGTTAGTTGACACTACCTATTATTTGTACCGTTTTTTTTGCAATCTTCGTTGTCACCACAATTAATGAAGTGTTGGTTGTCGTCACCAATAACTTTGCAACGTTGTTTGCAATGTTGGTTGTTATCACCTAATGCAGTGTTGACTATCATAATCAATTACTTGCAACGTTTTTGAGGGGCATTGTTGGTTGTTATTACCTATTACTTGCAGTGTTGGTACAGTGTCGATCAGCAGTACCAATTTCAAGCATGTAATATGTAACTCTCATTGTATTGTCAAGCCTGCGTGTGATTACACCTATATTCACCATCTTACTGTAACAAGTTACACACTCATGAACTTAGGAAAACTCGTTTCGAATTCTCACTGCCTGCTCCATTTTTGTCTTTTTGAGATTGGAAGTCAATTTAGTCCCGAGTACTGTTACATATGGACGAAGTTCAAATCACATCCTTTAAGCGATATATGACACCGATTTCCATCAATTAAAATGATATATTTTATAGTGGAAATCTACAATATAGTAGAGGTTGGATGCTTAACTGTGGGTGCCAAGGTTTTGAGTTTGAATCCTAGTGGACTCAACAGCCATAAGTGCATACATGTACCAGGACATGTTGTCGGAAGTAAGGAAAGTGTGTGTTATGTTGACTACATCAGCAATCGAATGTAGTTTTCTTTTTAAATATGGATCTGGCAATAACCTGGCAGTTTGCACGATAAAGGTCCTTTTCTCTTGTTTTGTACTGGGCCCTTTTTGCTATTTTCTGACTCCCTGACATGTACGCATCGTAAGCTGTCGCCAGTAAACACACTTTGATAACGTAGTAACTATTATGTGTTTTTCGTCCCCAGCTCCTTATTTTAAAGATACTCCCGAAACGACGCATGTGGCGCTGATTGGGGAAGACGTCAAAATTCCTTGCAAGGGTTATGGAAATCCAAAACCTTACATAGTTTGGTATAAAAACAACACGCTACTCGGCAACCATGACCATCCCAGGTAACACATGTTGTTCTGTGAATGTCTGTGCATAAAAAAATTTCGTTTGTTGGTCCTAATGATTTGTTTGTGAATTATTTTGAGTCTTCTTCTCCAGTTTCTTTTTTACACCGCTTGTGTATGTGTGTGTATAATATATATATATATATATATATATATATATATATATATATATATGTGTGTGTGTGTGTGTGTTGAGAGAGATATAAGGTTCTGCTTGTTGCTCCTCTTACCGCTTCAGCCACAGTAACATTGTGATATAGTAGGTTACCTGTAAAATCTTTTTGTCTTATTCTTACTTAGTCTGTCTTGTGCTCTCGTCTACCTCCTCTTTTGGTGTATGCCTTGTGTGGTATGACGTCACATGACATTCTCTTTAAGTGGACAAACCATTTCATTTGGTTTCTTTGTATGCCATCAGGAATTGGTTCTGTGTCGACTTGTTCTATGACACCTTCGCTAGATATTCTGAGGGCCCTTTGGGAACGAGTGAACAGTGCGGAGGCACATATAGATCATGACGGAATGAGGGGATTGGCCCTGTGAGGAGTTACCAGGGAATCAGACAGACGCTCATAACTCAGGAAATGGGCAAGACGGATACACAATCAGACAGCTACTGGTGTCGTAGGAATTAGAACTCTTCGCTTGCTGCTGAAGACGGAGACGGAGCGCTAATGGAAGTTTCCCGAATGCTGTGATGTTGATTCCTAATTCAACATTCTCGTGACCTCATTCCGAATTTTATTTCTTCTGGTCACTTGTGCAGCCCTTCTCATCTCCTTGGTTACTAATGTTCTTGTCTGGTTTCTTGGGTGTGACCATGTCTGGCACTGGTAGCTTAGAGTAGGATTGAATATGCTTTGTTTAAGACGTTTCTTTGTTTGAGCGGGATTGTCTTACGCTGTCAGAGGGGGCCTAGATTATTGTCTGATCTTCACATGCGCATTACTGCAGTGAAGCACAAAATATGAATCCTTTCAACTCCAGTGTACAGATCACACTGAATCATTGCAAACTCTACATCAGGGCGATTCAGCTGATGGCCCGCGAGCCAAATCTGGCCCACGGAGTCCTAACAAGGGGCCCACGAATCACAGCTTAGACTCTGGACGCCATTTTTTAATATTTTGGTCCCTGATTAAACTAAATTGAATAGCCCAGTTATACATCTTACCAGCGGGAGCCTAAGACTGACCATACAATTACTATACATGTGCGAGAATTTTGCTTTCCAAACTGGGGCAGTATTTGCTAGGTTCAGCTTTTCACAGAATTCTCAACTAACTAACCAGTCAAGCCATAAATGTGGGTCTTTGTTATCTCTGGTAATTAACCAGCTTCAGTTAAATCGTATATATATATATATATGGACTGTACCGAATAGTGATTTTCACTATTCGGTCGAATACGAATAGTGTATCATCATCATCAGGTGCCTTGCCGACTGACGTGGGCGATTTTACCTCGCCACAATCTGCGATCTCCTGCAGCATGTATTAATTAGTTCGTGTGCTGACACACCTCCATGCCATGCAACAAGACTGTCAAGAATTTTCTCTCGCTGTCTCTCTCTGTCCCGCCTTCCACAGATCTTTATAGTGGTCACCAGATGTTCTATTTTCCCTCTTTCCATAACATGGCCGAAAAAGGATGACTGACACCTTATGATGTCTGTGATTAGTTGTCTTCGGGCTCCCGCCTCTTTTAAAACCTCTTGGCTGCTTTTACTATTGTGTTAATGAGAGAGTTATTTCGGTCAATCGCAGTGTATGCAGAAACGAGTGTAAGGTAACCACTATTCGTATTCGGCCCGACCGCAACTATTTGGCCCAATACCGAATAGGGTCCACTATTCGGCGCCGAAGTAAATACGAAGCTAATACGAAGCTAATATACGGTACAGTGTGTGTGTATGTATATATATATATATATATATATATATATATATATATATATGTGTATGTGTGTGTGTGTGTGTGTGTGTGTGTGTGTGTGTGTGTGTGTGTAAGACCTACATGCTGTTAATATTTGACCACACAGAAAGCTTACAAATTAAAACTGTTTTCAGAATCGAAGTCAAGACCAAGTCTTTAAGAATAATTAAAGCAGAAGCCGGAGATTCTGGAGTGTACAGTTGTTACCTGTTTAATGAACATGGCGAGAAGTGGGTCAACTATAGTTTACTTGTTGCAAGTAAGTATGTGTTGATATTGCATTACCAGTATCTCTCGGTTATATCATCATCAAGTGCCTGGCCAGCTGGCGTTGGCGTTCATGCATCTCCACAGATCTCGATCTTTGGTGTTCTGGATCAACTCCATTTGATGATATTCCTCAATGTCACTGTCTTAAGCCGCCCACCATCATTTCTCTTGGTCTGCCTCTGACTCTTCTACCAGTGATCTTTCCAGTCGTCACGATATTTTTCAATCTCATCACGTGACCAACGAAATTTTTTTCTGGGGGGGGGGGGGGGGGGGGGGGTGTCTCCTTTTCTGTAGTATGCGCACTTGTAGTTAGACTAGTTTACCGGATTTTTTGTTTCCTAAAGTTGGATAGTAACACTTATAGACACACATACCGACCATAATATTTTTTTTTCTTTTGCTGGTTTTTCCCCAAAAAAATCCTTTTCTTGTATGTCTTCTCTTGTTATTTCACATGGATTTACTATTTCCTGGGGTTTGGATTATTATGACCTGCCTGTGTGATTAAACCCTAAATCCATGACAAAAGGCTGTCTAGAATCTTCCACGTATTCTCAACGCTAAAGACCCACTACCTTCCCAACTGTCATGTCGTAAGAGGCGACTAATTAGTTATTGTTACTTCTACTCTAAAATCGGAGCGCATCTGCCTGAGAGGTGATTTTGCATGTAAGTGAGCCAGGTCTGTAAAACGAATGTTCTGAAACGAAAGGCCTGAAGTGGACATACAATCACAACTTTCCATTGGAGTTTACGGTGAACGCGAAGAAGAAAGAAGAAAGAAAACAACGTGTTCCAGCTTCTTTCTTCTCAAAACTGTAACTCAGAAACATGTTCTTTTGCAATGTTTGTGGTAATCACTGTTCAGAATCACACATAGAGAATTTCACTCACAGAACACACATAGGGAATCACAGACACGGAATCCCACATACAGAATCACAGACACAGAATCACACATATAGAATCACACACACACACACAATCACACATTCTTCTCACCTTCCGTATTCAGCCTTCGAGGCTGCCGCCAGAAAGTGTTGCCACCCTGAGATCACATATCTCAGTCTGAACGGCGCGCCAACAGGTCGAATCCCAGATAATCCGATAAAGACCCAAAAGACGTTATTTTGGGAGCTTCTGTGGTGTAGCGGCTAGACGCTCGCGTGCGGATCGGAAGGTCGTGGGTTCGGGCCCTGACGGAGCAGAACTATTTTTGTTAAATGACCTTGACTACTAGGTCGACCCAGTCTTGAATGGGTGCCAGGTGAAGTCCTGGGAAGTCAAGGCGGCCGGTATTAGGATGACCACGTTACCCACTGATTGCCAATTGGTCTGTAAAATGTGGGTCTAGAGTTATATATCCAATACGTCTGAAGGCGTTGAAAAGGGTCCTTTACTTTACGTAACGGCTACACACAAGTCTGGTCCAACAGACCGCTATTTGCGGGTATGGATGTGTATGGCCTGCACACACCACCTTCTCAAGCATTCCGTTCATAATCACTGCGTGTAAGCCTGTAAAATCTCCCGTATGGTGTAGCTGGTTGTGTGTGTGTGTGTTTTAATGTTAATTTACGACTGTCTCTGTCTGATTTTTCGCTGTTTGAAAGAGATAAGAGTTAAAACGTATCACAGACATCAGAAAGAGGCAGTCATATGTTTAGCCACATAATATAAGAAGAAAAATATGAAAGATGTGACAAACAGAGAGACAGAAGAAGACAACGAAATGGAATATTTCGCAACCCCTCGCAAATTCATGAAACAGGACTGACTGTTCAGGCGGCGGTCCCTCTGCTAAATCTGGCCCAGAGAGGCCTAACAAGTGGCCTGCAGATCACCTTCCAAGTGTATAGTATTAAATGATCTTTCTAAGCTGACTCGCTACGATCTCATGTTGGCCCCAGAGTAAACTTAGTTGATTGTCCCTGGCAAAGAAGGATCTGCATACAACTGGTTTACTAAGAGTTCCATTTGCAATAGCATCATCAGCTGTATATCCGCCTCACCTGGATTTCGGTGTTGAGCCAGATCCAATGAAATACGCTCATCAAAATAACCCATTTATTCGAATTATGTTGTTTGATATTGTAACAAAACACTCGTGTTCACATGAGCTGTTTTCTGCGGTAAGTACTGTATTAAAAGTACTGTATTAAAAGTACTGTATTATAAGTAATTTGTTTTACCACAGATGAAACGGAGATGAAACGATACTTAGGAGTGCCCGACAACCCAAAATACAAAGATCTAAGGTCGCAAGGTGAGGCACATTGTCCTTGTCTGCTTGTTTTAAGCAAATTATACCCAAACACTTTGTATTGTTCATTACTGTACAGTATAATCAATGATATCACACACATTTTAAAATGATCACTTGATAAACGAACCAAGTGGGAATGCGAACATTGAAATTCTCTGAAAGATGGTGAATAGTACCAGCTTCTAGGTGCACGAAAACATTCTTCAGACTGGACACAGGACATAACAACCTGCAGTACTGCTTGTTTGATTGTACCAGTGAAGTATTTTTACCACGTTGGGATGATATAGATTTTTCATAAATGGAATCTGTTCCAACATCTTTGGCCTCTCATATTTGGTCTATCTATTGGCATTGAAATCTAAAATCAGTGGTAGAAACATTATCAGCATCTGACCTGGTAACCTCTTAATACGCTCCTACAGATAAGAGAATGGGCGATATTCTAACCCTGTTGGTTTCTGTGCTATGATGATTGATCTTCTGAACGTTTTCTGACTTTTCTCTCTCTCCCTCTCTCTCTCTCTCACTCACATCTCTCCCAGACGCACGTACGCCACTATTCGCCCCCTTATATGTGGAAAGAAACAGAAACAAAAAGGGTTAGGATTTGCGGTGGGGGAGGGGGGGGGGGTCGGAAAGAGAACTCGGAGTGAATGATGACCAAAAGCCAGACATATTTTTTCTTTCAAATCAGACAGTCGGTGCTGCAGTAGCCAAGGTGAGCAAGGGAGATAAACGGTAAACATACGTCTTATCTTAAAGCGTTTACTCGAATAGCGAGAGGGGAGGGCACTCAGATTCAGGGTAACGCATTGGCAGAAGATTTAGGCTTTGGTAATTAGAGTAAAAATGTCGCCAAATGTTGAGGTAGATTTAGTAATTTACCTATTTGATTACTCTAATCTAGTGGGGGCACACAGCTGTGGTTTATTTGACTGATAATTATCTGCTCCATATTATGAGACTAATTGGGATGAGGCGCTGCTACACCAGTTAGCAGGCAGATTAGAGCAAATTATGACTGGGTTAATAGACTGCACATGGTGTAAACAGCAGGAGTTAGCTGTTTATATTTTGCATCTTAGGTTCAGTTCCCGGCATGGTGACCTAGGTCTGATAAATTGCGTGTGGTATTTATCATATCACCGTGGATTTGATTTCCTTGCCTTGGTGGTGACGGAAGTTCTGTTCTACTTCTTGATGTTCCCGCCTATGTTTATTATTCTTTCTCTTTTTATTATTATTTTTGTTATTATTCTCATCCTCCTATTCCTGTTGCTGCAGACAAATTAATACTAATAAACAAAAAATGGCTGCTGCTGATACTACTGCTGCAGTCTCTTCTAAATTGTATATAAAATTATAAATATTGATTCGCAGTCTCTCCCCCCCAACACCCCCCCCCCCACCCCCCCCCCCCCCCCCCCCCCCCCTTCCCGCCACTTCATCTACTACTTCCTTCTCCTGCTCATGCTTTTTAGAAACAACTATCCCCTTTCAACGTCAGTTGACAAGCCCGTTGCGCGAAACCCTAGCCTAATTGTGTAACGATGAGCGGGAAAGCTTCCCAGATCATCTTTCTGTCGTTGCACCGTCTACATATCATTGTTAACTTGGAGGAAAAGGACACCGTCAATTTGTTCTTGCCAGTGTCCACATTTTGCGTTCCAGGTCTACATTTGTTCCCCACCCTGTGCCTCACACGTCCACGTCTTCCCGCTACCACCCAACCAAGTGACGTCTTCCAGTGGCTGAATCGGGCAGTGTTTCTCAACTTTTTTTTTTTCAACACCCCGGTGATATTACAAACGGTATATTGTTTCACTACCCACCTGACAGCTACCCAAACATAGAAACCAAAATCAATGTAGATAAATCATCATCAATCAGCAAGTCCTTTACAGAACGTCGCTCTCTTCACGGCATGCCTGAAAGTATCCCTTTCCCTAGCCAGCTCTCCGTCCCCAAGTGCTTTTCAATGACAATGCTTCTTCAGTGTCCTGTATCCATCTTCGCGGTGGTCGACCCCTGCCTCGCCTTCCACAAACTGCACCCCCCCCCCCCCCATCACCGTCATTTTGTAGATAAATACGATGTCAAAGAATTATAATTTTCAGCAGTGGTGACATTAGCTGCTGCTTGTGGGTTAGTACACACCCCCATAATGTACCAATATAAACTGTTTCAGGGGTTTGTTTAGTTGTACTTCTTAAGGTGTTGATCCTACAGACTCCATCTTTGAAGAGGTAAACTACCTACCCTCCCCTGTTACATGATAATGCAGACAATTGTGGCTCCTCACCTGAACATTTCTGTGGCCTAGAAGTGAGCCGCGGCCAATAAGTTCAAGAACACTGGTGTAGGGTACCCTTTTCAAAGTACCCAAACACCCAGTTTCTCGCACCCCTGTAGCGCTTCCAGGATCACGTGTATTTGAAAATGAAGAAAGGTAATTTGGAGGGCGGGAGGTGGGGGAACCTGGTTAAATTTGGTTGCAGTCTCTTACCCTATGGTTAGCCATACCTAACATTGTTACGTTGAAATGAATGTTGGTCAGACAGAATTTTATGTCGGTGTAAACATTGAAGATGGAAGACCAAAGTATGATCTTTTGCTTTTATTTTTAGGTTTTAAAATAATCATCAGTGTACTTGATTCTTGCTTGGCAGCAGACATCTTTTTATTGTCACACTGCTTTGCGTTCACAACTGATTAATTTTGTTTAGGCTTACACAACGGATCAGCATCATGGCACAAGGGTAGTAATTCCTCAGTGCTATATTCTACTTTTAACTCAAGCCTGAGTCAGAAGATTTTCAGAGCAATACATGAACTCCTTAGTACCGACGAGGATCCTGAAATATTGTGGGTAGATTTTTTAAACTCCAAATTTTGCCCGGGCAACGTAGTTAAGACTACTCTTTTCAATTTCCAAATGCCAAGGGAATTTGTTTACGTGCGCAACAGTGCACACAAGGTCCGATCTTACTACCCAAAGGCCAGGAGAAATTACTGGAAGTCCACTTGAAAAAAATCTCGGCCTTCACCGGGGCCTGATCCCCGGGACCTCCAGCACTGGAGGCGGACGCCTTGTCTCGAACCACTCAGCCCCTAACTAATTAATCTTTTAAAATATTTCCCAAAGATCACCACTAATAACTGACATCGTGAGGGCTAGTAAACTGCAATAGCTACGTATTTTAGAAAGAATGACAGAGAACAGAAAAACTCAAACTGCATACCCAACAAAATAAAAGTTGAAGAGGAGTAAGTAATTCCCCCCTCCTCCTCCTCCCCCAATCGATTTGTTTTCTTCTGTGTTGCATTCCATTCCCAGATTCAGTCGGTCCGTGGTTAAGGGTTAGTTTGAGAACTGGAGTTAACTGTGCCTTATGCCAAAGAAATATGGAAGTGAAGAGGGTCGAAATTAGAAACAGCTGGATCGCCATTCTTAGCGCCAGCGTCCTGAAAAATGTGCGCACATCAATCGTCTTTTGCCTTTTCAATCTCTGTTACTTTGCTTTAATTTTCCTTGAACTCTCCTCCTTTTTTCTTTTCTTTGCATGCTCTAAGCCAGCGGTTCCCCTCACTCGTTTTACTTTTCTGCAATTGGCTTGGTTCACTTAAGTGTGCGCTATTTGGGAAACGACGAAAGGTGTTTAATGGTTTCATTTAAAGAAAAACTATGTAGGCCAGCGGAAATGCTGAGGGAATATGTGGGGATAAAACGCCAGTGTTTAGGTCGGTAAATCCCTCTTCATAGAGCTCCATCTAGAAATAAGTAATAGAAGAGAAGCCCCGGAATTATCTAGAGTCGCTGCCAAAAAAAAAAAATTTAGCCTAATCTCTTCCAGGGTTGCAGACAGTAGGACAGGGCTATTCAACCAAGTTTACGCTGGAGCCAAAATGTTGGAACTTAGTTATAGTAACGGCCAGCATAGAAAGATCGTTAACAGAATACACTTAGCCGGTGATCTGCGGTCCACTTGCTAGGCCTCTTTCGGCCAGATTTGCCCATTCCCACCCAAGGGCCTCCGGTTAAATAACCCTGCTATATCACATGCCGTGAATGTCTCGCAGAGCATGTTGAGAATGGTGAAGACATGCATGTTCTGTGCAGAGGTCCCGGGTAGTTAGCATCGTTTGGATGTTTTCTCCAGGTTATGTCGGTGTGTTGGGAAATGAGCAGGCAGAAGACTGGCCTGTTCTGCACCGCTTGGTGGTGAACAACTGATGTATGACAGGCTAGGTGTTTTGAGGACTCTTTGGGAGCGATTGAACAGTGCGGAGGCACAGATAAATCATAACGGTCTGGGAGGAATGGCGCTGCGAGGTGTTCCAAGGGGATCTGGCCGACGTTCAGCAGACGGTTACTGGTGCCATCAGAATTAAAACTCTTCGCTTGAAACCCCTTTCAACAGCATAACAGATTTATTTAAAACTAAACATAGAAATCGAATTAATGTTATTGTAGCTCTTCGTCTATCAGAAACAATTCTCCAGCCACATATATCAGTTGATCTAACGCCTAACCTCTGAACAGCAGTAGATATCACATACGCTGGAAATTATAATTTTGTGACGTCGGATTAAACCAATAAACTGCTATCTACGTGTGTTTTTGTTCTGTGTTTGGTTAGCTGTCAGATGGGCTGCGAATTTGCACGGGCCGCGGATGTAAAAAGGTTGAAAAACACTGACTAGCTGGAGACCACTGCTCTAGGAGCTAGTCGTTCTGTGAAAATGCGAGCCATGCTGGATAAAACCCTTCTGCAGTTAATGTCGATTCTCTCCTAAAGCTTAAACTCCGATTGATAGACGGATAGATTAGCTGTCTTGTCCATTGACAGTTATGATCATTGTTTATAGTTACACTTTAAAAAAAAAAGACTTTGGTCGAAACGGTGAGTTGTATTTATACGCGCTCTTTCCACTCCCACATCCCCCCCACCCCCGACTGACCGTTCCAATCACAGCCTATTCTGTATTTAGTACCTCTTATAACAAAAAGTCTCATAGCTGATTGTGTGTGTGGTGTTTTCGTACATTTGTTTATATACTGTTGCTGTACCGTAGTCCCTTCTGCTTCTATACCAGCTGCTAAAGAGAAACTTCAATGGGACCGCAACAGCATGGACTTCATCAGGGACAAAATAGGGCAGGTTACTTCCTACATTGAACTGTCCTGTCCAGCAAAGGGCGCCCCAAAACCCACTACTCGCTGGCTCAAGGATGGAGTGCAGATACATCATCAGATGTCTGGGCGGGTGAGAATCTGAATGTCCGTTCTAGTTTCTGTTTACACATACTAGTATATCGTTAAACTAATGTACATTTATATTACATGTACTAGTAGTATACGATGTTCCGTAAATTCGTCGACTGTCAACATTTTTAAATAAGGGTGTACCGTTTCATGAAAGTTGTGTAGTTTGGAACGTGAAAACACGTAAGTATAAAGCAGATTCACTGTTGATGGACTTATGCTCACACACTGCATATATATTTCTAAGAAGAAAACGGAAACATTCTGTGACCACCGCAAAGATCTAGAAAAGACAAGAAAAGAATGCAAGATGATGTTTGACAACCTTTTGTCATGTCATGGAGGGGTGTCAGCACACGAACTGATACATGCTGTTGGGATTATCTGCTATTCCTGTTAGCAAGGCAGTTGATGTTGAGGATGATGATTAGGATGTATTTATAATCTTCTAACACTGGGTTTTGCTTAAAAACTAATTGTTTTGCCTGTAGTAGCTCTATGGTTTGATTACTTACTTGAATGCGGTCAGATTTTACATCGTCTGCTACGTGTTCATGTTCTGGCTCTACACCTATGAAGACAACGGAGGCCGCGGTAGTGCAGTCGATAGGAGGCTAATTTCAAATCCAGCTGCGACTGGCTGCAGCCCACGGCCGGTGTTCGAAGTCAGGCGGTTCACGGGGTTCACCCAGCCAAGGAAATGGGTACCAGAGTTTAGACTCTAGGGTAAATGGAGGAACGTCGCTGTAGCTACGGAGTTTGTGCGGACGGCGGCACAGGCGGGCAGTTTCTTATCAGCTGTCCGTACTGGTGGCAGAGCACTTATGGTTTATAACCGTGTGCAATGACGCTGGTTCACATCTCCCGACTTTACCTTTACCTATGAAGACACCTGCGTGGTCTCCGCTTCAAAAACCCCACGCACATCCTGATGACGTTGAGCCATTAGCCTGCAGACGCCAAGTACTGCAGTTCGAATCCACATCCTGGAGAATTTGTTGCTCCAGAATTGACCAGGTCGACTCAGCCCGGCCTTAATTGAATGTGATGGAAAGTAAAGGTGACCGATGTGGTATCGACCACACTATACCCATCGAGTGTAGATTTTTCTATATCAGGGATATTTGGCTACATTCACTCAGGGCCCACCATTTTGAAAATGGATCTCGTCAAAGGCCAAAGGCCCGAGCTCCAGCAACTGGCGGTGATCCGCGGGCCACTTGCTAGGCCTCCGCGGGCCAGATTTGTTCTCTTCTTCTATCGTCAGTTTTGTAATACGAATAATCTTATTGGCCATTTTGTTTGCCTCAGCTGCTTCTGCTTTGCCTTCTGCGTGCTGTAAATATGTAAATATGCATCCTCATACTCAGTTTGCTTCCGCAGATTTCAGTAAAGAGAGGTGGAACCCTGGTGATAGCGGATTTGATTCTCAAAGATGCTGGCAACTATACGTGTATTGTGTCCAACATTCATGGATCGCTCAACTGGACTTACGAGCTGTCTGTGCTCCGTGAGTAATTTTTTTTTTTTTTTTCACATAAAAAAAATAGAGAGGATGTAATCTGCTCATTTTGTGCATACTATTAAAAAATTTATTATATCCTGTCTCTTTCTCAGATTCTGTCTAAAAGTCATGCTGTGGAAAAATGCCATAGCTTCCTTCAGTTTGCTTTTATTTATTTATTTATTTATTTATTTATTGTTGTGTATATAATACTTGACATCCACAGACATCTATGATATTACAGATAGCCCCTATATGATGACAGATGATGATCTGTATATACATTACCAGTGTTCCCATATGACTGTGTTGGAGACGATCCTAGTAAACATTAGTCACAGGTCGCATGAAAGAATTCAGTTTCTTGTAGTCCATGAGTTTGTGTTAGTCATCGTGTTCCACAGACTCTTCTCCTTTCTAACATTTATGTTATAACAAAGTGCTCCGGTTTTCCCTTTTTCTTAACGTTATAAAAATAAAGTGCCTTCTCCTGGTGGGGGTAAACCAGTTTCCTTTCCGAGTTGATTAGGAAACATTTATTAAAAGTGAATTAGAGTGTCCACACGGCAGCACCTAACATCCTTATTAGCGAGTACATTGTAGACATAACAAACTATTTTATAGTCTATGTACCATATGTATGTCTTTAGCTAAATGTAAATCAGTGCACTAAATGTTTGTCAGTGTACCTAATATATTTTGCCCCCCCCCCCCCCCCCCAACATCCTAAATATATACTATTTACAAAAGAAAAAAATACACAGCAATGAAAATAAGATAATTTTGTCATAACTTTTGCATTCAATATCTTTGTAATTTAATGAGTGAAATATTTCAAATTGCACACGAGAATTCCTTATGGTTCAACCAATCAGACCAATCAGTTGACAAATCTTTTGTTGCATCTGGGTCATCGATAGTCTTTAGGCGTACCTTCTTTACTTCTACCTGATAAAACACTCACTCGTCTCTTCTTCGGCCAACCTTGCACTGAATTACTTTTCTTTCCAAAACACTTGCATTTAACATGATCAAACACATTTAAAATTCCGAGAGAGGATTCTTTTGTGAGCCAGATTATTTGCAGAATGTTAAAATGTCCTTACTTCTTGAGCGATAGAACGGATCTCATTAGTCGTCCCCATGTTGTACGCAATGCTTTTGTTATTTTGAATCCCCACCCTAGCTTTTCCAGGGGGCCTTAAATATGGCCTAGCGGCTGAACGCATGGTGGCATTTTGTGTCACTGGGTGTTTGTCGCGTGTGTGATATCTTGGTGGGGTGCTACTTACCTACCTACAGAGAACGGATCCTGCTAAATATGCATTTCTTCCTTTAACTTTGTGACACTTTCCTCGAATAAGATAGTTGCATCATCCCGATATTTCAAGCATTAGCTTGTAGGTTAAATCTGCTTGCACGGGAGGCTAAACCAGTGGTTTTTTACTATGGTCCATGGAATTGCCATGGTGGTCTACCTAATCATTTAGCCGCTACATTACATTGCTGTAAAGATTTTCTAGCTTAAGCAGCAGCAGGTGTCGCTTTTGCCCAACATTGTAATTTTGTAACATCGTGTTTAACAAATAAACTGCTTTCTGCATTTATTTTTACACTATCATTGTGGTCCACGAAACAGTTTGTCTTGTTTGCCGGTCCGTGGGTATAAACAGGTTGAAAAACACTGGTCTAAAACCACTCACGGCCATGGAAGGTAAGGCTGCAGACACAGAGCTGGATGTTTGTTTGAATACAGACAACACATGCCCCGTTGCTAACAAACACTGGCTTGAAATGAAACAATTAGCAGACGATTGCGCTTACCACATCTCTGTATGTTTCCCGATGGAGAAAATATTATTACAGTTTATGGCTGAGATTTACCCCCGTTCTTTGTTTGTTGTGGGAAATTGTGAAATCTTAACCAGGAGAAGGTTAAAAGTGAGGAAAATAAGTATGGAGGATGCGGTGTGAATATATTTGGAGTGACGGGTTTGCAATCACCGTGATCCATGACTTTTTTTTTTTTTTTAAAGGGAGCGGGGGAATGGTTTGAAGCGTGCGGGAAGATTATATGTCAAGGGACTGGTTTACATCACCCTCTCAAGCCCTTTACTACGCTTCTTATCTTTTTCTTTCTCGTTCTCCTTTCTTTCTTTCTTTCTTTCTTTCTTTCTTTCTTTCTTTCTTTCTTTCTTTCTTTCTTTCTTTCTTTCTTTCTTTCTTTCTTTCTTTCTTTCTTTCTTTGTTATCTGAAATTGGCACTTTTCAGCTGTCTCCTTTTCGATTTTCGTATTTCAATATTGTAGTTATTTCCAGTGTGTAAATTGTTCGTGTAAGAGTCCCTTTGACACGCCAGTGGCACATTGAACCTCTGAGGCTAGACTCGTATTTGTATAGTCCAGTGATGGTTGATTTGGTCAGCATCACGCCTTTACTTCCCATGATTTCATATGGTTGTTGTTCGTTCATCACGAGTGATAAAAACCAAATTTCACCGAAAGTAGTAATGGTCAATGATTATGCGTACGAAGGTGACTGATTAGTCCAAAATGAGGCTAGAAAGTTCTTGAGCAGGGCGAACAACAGATGTAAGTCGCAGTTAATGTAGGATCATCAGCGATACGGTTCTTTCTAGTCTGCTTTCTTTTCTCTGCCCGTGCAACCTCCGCTGTCTGGCAGGCTGAGGGATGTACGCCAACCAGAACGGTCTTATGCAGCAGCCTCTCACATCGCTGTGTTGAGGCCTTTCATATTGCCATTTCATCTGGTACCCGTTTAAAATTGCGTTAGCCCTGCTCTCTAGTGTAGTTGGCTAAACCGGATTGCGCGGAGACCGGGTGACGAACTCCTTGTGGTCCGGGTTCAATCCCGGGGGTAGGCAAGAAAGCCACATTTCTCCCAGATTTACGGTATTTACAATGGAATCAACGCCGAAAGGTTGCGATATCCATTATACGGAGCCTAAGGGTTAACAACTGCAGCACATGTGGAGATAATCTATGTTCAGCATGTTCTCTCTCTCTCTCTCTCTCTCTCTCTCTCTCTCTCTCTCTCTCTCTCTCTCTCTCTCTCTCTCTCTCTCTCTCTCTCTCTCTCTCTTTCTCTCTCTCTCTCTCTCTCTCCTTCCTCTCCTTCCTCTCCTCTTTCTTCTCTCTCACTCGGGCTGCAGCTGAAAGGCTTGACACCACCAATCACTTTTCAGATGTTAATATAATAGCAAGTCCCAGATATCCTATTGCCCTTTATACAACACCTGTCTTTACTCCTTGTATTGACTACTTTCTAAGGCGCGTTGGATAGAGGGCAGGAGCCTTAGGATTTAAGGCCGCAGGGCTAGCGTAGTCGACGCCATCTATGCAGGTAATGATTCTATAGCTGTTTGCCCTAATGACTTCTGCGTTCGTTTGCAAGAGTTAGTTGTGTGTCAGAACTGACATTGCCCTGTTGTGCCGTTATGTATTATACAGAGTTAGCAGACTGTTCCTCAATTCCTTTCTATCCTGTACAATCACTTCGATAAAATGGATAGTATCCAGCCCAGCATATTTGGCCACTCCCATTAACGTTCGTTTTAGGGTTTCTTATGAACGTCTTGGCTTCACCCGTCCCTTTATTTCCAAATGTAGTGCCTGAGTGATTCTTTGCTCGTTACTCCTTAAGATGGGTCGAATATAGCGCTACTTCTTTGCTCTTTACTTCTCAAGATGTGTCGAATATAGCGCCATTTTCTTTGCTCGTTACTCCTCAAGATGTGTCTAAAATAGCGCCATCTTTTTCGCTCGTTACTTTCCGGGATGTGTTGAATATAGCGCCATCTTCTTTGCTTGTTACTTCTAGGGATGTGTCGAATAAAGTGCCAACTTCTTTGCTCGTTACTTCCTGGGATGTGTCGAATATAGCTCTATGTTCTTTGCTCATTACTTCTCAAGATGTGTCATAAATAACTCAATCTGTTTTGCTCATTACTTCCTTGGATGTGTCGAATATAGCGCCATTTTCTTTATCTTCTTTCTCCGGCTGGGGCTTTAAAATAACACATACTTCCTCTTCTTTTGCGTTCATCCGATGATGTAATTGCGTTGTGTCCGTTTACAGCATGGCTGCGATATTTGCACCTTTCGGCCAACACATCCGACTTCTGCGGGCATTTGTTGACCGGGTTAGCCTAAATACAATAACACATACAAGAAGCTATATTGGGGCAAGGTTTATATCATGTTAAAATTGAAAACAGTTTTAAGAGCTATTTATTTAACCCGATAGCGAATTGCGGTAGAGGGTTTATACTTTCATTCCATTTTGAAACTAAATATGTCTTGGACAGAATTCGGTAAAATTACTTTCCCCGGTAGCTGTACCGTACACCACAATCCTATAATTTCCCATCCTAGTAGTTTAACAAAACGATTCGACTTCATTACAAGCAGCCGAATGCTGCTGGTAACAGATGCCTTTGGATCGCGGTCTGTGGAATTCCTGAGGGGCACCTTGGCCCCAGCGCTATTCAAGAGTCGCAGAAGAGCCTCCTGCGGAGAAGACGAGCACCGTTATCTTATCCATAATTTGCCAACTTTCCTACAAGAAGCTGTCGGGAGCTCCCACATGCGAGTGTCAGATGGTGCATTTTTCCTGATAATGGGCTGATACCGACCCAATTTGTTTGCATAAGATTAGTAAAGAGATGGCTTGTTAGCTCCTCTGATGAAAAGAAAGAAGATCGGTCAAGTTGTTTTGAAAGAAGAAATCTCTTGGCTTTGGGAAAAGGGGGGGGGGGAAGGTCGTGAAAAATGTTTCATTAAGATTCTCCTGAGTTCACGTCTTTGCCGGTCTGTGTCTGTTGTTAAGTTAGTAACTTTGCGAGTTGTTTATGAATGTGAATGAGTGGTTTTAAGTTGGTAATTTTGTGAATGATTGTCTATATTATGTAAATTTAAAATTTGTGCCACTGCCTATTTATGTATGAGTTTGTGGTTCAGCTAGTAACTTTTCATAAAAACCCGCCCAATATGAGGCGACATTTTTTTTAAAACATTTTTTTTAAATTTCAAAGCCCCCACCCCAGCTGTTGTCGGGGACCCTAATATAGCCTAACAGTGGAACAGGATTTCTGGGACTTGTGCCCTGGTGATCCTCATCCGAATTATGGCACTTTGTGTCACCCGGTGTTGGCCTCTCATTGTGCGGTTTTGGTCAGGTTGAATGTCACTCACTAATAGCTTTGCAGGTATTTACATGTAAATGGTAAGTTAGTAACGTTTTTAGCGTGTATATAATTAAGTTAGTAATTTAGCATGTAGAAAAGTGCTTATTTTTGTGTATAAAATAAAGATGATTGATACCTCCCCTCACAAACTATTTATTTGTGAGCGCTCTCCTACTGTTTATACTGTGGTGTTTATGTTATGCCTTTGTTTTTTTTCAATATACAGAGAGGGCACCCCATGTACCTCTGTTCGAGCAGCCCAAAAACCAGTCAGTTCGTGTGGGAGAAACGGCCACTTTTTCATGTAGAATAGAGATTAGTGACACCCACCCTCACATTCAGTGGCTGAAACATCACCAGGTCAATGGCTCTTACACTAATGATAATGGAGAGCACTATTTTCAGATAATTCAGGTAGGGCATGTTCACATGTTTTTGAATGTATTTAATTGCTTAAAGAATAATTGGTTTCTATACCTGCATATTTGGAAGGCAAGCTGGTAATTGCCAGTAAGTGTAGTGTGGAAAAAGGAAATGTTTCAGTCCATTCTTTGTTATAAAAATCCACACAGCACATATCATTGACTGGCCTATACCATCACATATGATTGACTGGCCCATACCTCACTTATCATTGACGGCCCATACCTCACATATCATTGACTGGTATATACCTCACATATCATTGACGGCCCATACCTCACATATCAATGACTGGCCCATACTTCACGTACAATTGACTGGTCCAGCATACTTTCATTGGTTACTGAATGCAGCAACAACCATTAGCTGCCATATTCAGTATACATGTATTCATTGCACCGGCACCATTTTTTTGGGGGGGGAGGGGGTCCTCCATTTGGCACACTCTTAGTGGTACAGGCAGAATATACTTGGAAGAAACCATTTGTGTAACCTGAAAAGCACCTCCAGTTCTTTCAGCTTCAGGTGGTTTGAAAGCAAGAACCCAATTGGGCACAGTGATCACAGTGAAAGATGCATCAGTGCATGACTTTCAAAGATACAGCATATATTCTGCTACATTTAAAATATTTGGACATATTTCTTTTGCACCCCAGACCAAACATGAAATAAAAAATAGCATACCGTATTTGCGTTTATAAGCTTAGCACATATGGTGCGTTGCTTGGGACAAAAAGAGTTAACTGGTAATTCAGAATAGGTTTATTTAAATAGTATTAACGCTCACTGCTTCCAATGTAAATGTATGTAAAACCTCATTACTTGATGTTTACAGCAACTTAGTTAGTTAGCCATTGTTGTAATATGTATTGTAGCATTTGACACATCTTATGTTTACATGTTTTTGAGGTTTTTGGTTCAGACTGTCTAAAAAATCTATAAAGTTTTGTTTTATTATTGTTTGTGATGGTTTAGTGTTGGCCTACAATATCAGCATTATTATAATTTGGACAAGTTTTAGTTTTCACTATTATATTAGGAAATGTTACTTTATCATACCCTTTTTCCTTACATTCATGTTTGTTTAATGATTTTCATTGTTCATGATTATTCCCAGTGTTTAGTGTATAATTTTTACATGTTACTTTCCTATTAGTCCCATTGTATAATAGATAATGTATAGTAGATAGTTATTTTATGTTGATTCCAAGTATATAGTAGATTCCATTGGCTACTCCATGTGTTGATTATGTGTACATTATTTTATAGTAATTATGTTGTTCTCTATGGTGTACACCATACTTTTCAACTAAGTTTCTTTAGAAGCCAAAAATGTTCAACATGAGGATTGTCATGGGGCCAATGGCCTGAGCCCCAGCATAAACAAATCATTAATACAACACAAGTAGCATTGCTCCAGGTGCCATTTGCTGGGCATCTGCATGCCGGATCTGGGCCAAGGGCTGCTAATTTTAATAGCCCTGGTGTACACAGACATGTGTATGAGACTGATAGAAATAAGTGGGATAGATAAAAGATCATCTTGGCCTTTTGGAATGTTAAAATCCACTTGCTGGCCGATTTTTACGTTAACTATATATATATATATATAAAGTAAAGGACTCTTTTCCACATCTTTAGGCATATAGGGCTATACCTGTATTTTATAGATGAATCGGCACAAGATGGGTGATGTGGTCAGCATCACACTGACCACCTTTACTTCCCAGGAATACACTCTGTAACCGCTCAAGGCTGGGTCGACCTGGGAGCCAAGTTAATTTTTTTTAAAGTCCGGCTCCGCCAGGGAGCGAACTCACTAGAGTAAATATGAAGGTGTAAATTATAGATTTCAGTTTGATCAGGACTTATTACATTTGCCACTGACAGTTCTCTATATACACAGTAACATAGTTGGGCAGATTTAGTTGTTTTGTTTTTGTGTGTGTGTGTGTGTGTGTGTACACATTTTAGTTATCTGTGGACCATCATTTTTTTTTTCTTTTTTGCCTTATACAGGGTCGACAGGTAAATTATGAATTGTGCTTGCTGAAGTTCAGTTAGTGTTACTTAAGACCTAGATGTTGTCAGTTAGTGTGTGTATTGTTGCCTTGTGCCAAAATAACAAACAGGTTATTCTAACTTAGGACTTTTAGCATGCAAACAAACTTATACAAATTAATTGTGGGTGTTTTTTAAGTTAAAAACAAAAGCACATACCACTATGTAATTAACCTCTAAGCTCAATAAAGTATACAAGCAGAGCATACAACCACACTTGGAATATGGGTCACCTGCATGGTGTTCAGCATCTAGTACCACATTAAAGGAGTTGGACAAAGTGCAAAATCAAGCACTCAGAAATGAAATCAACCCCCATATTAGAAATGGAGAAAGCTGGGAAAACACAGGCACTGAAAGAACGCAGAGATACAAAGTCTCAAATACAAGCTGAAAAGTTCCTCAGTATGCCAGATCACCCCATGAAAAATAGATGTCAGAACCTAGCCTTGGGACGGTTAAAAAGAAGCAGCTTTATACACCAAGTAAAACAATATGTAGACAAACTGCTGACCTTCCAGAAATTGGTTGTCCACTTAACAGTATTCCAGAACAAACCCCATGGAGAGAAAAATGCAAACAGTAAAAATCCAGACAAATATGAAAGGAATATTTAACAAGAAAGAACAAGATAGTGTACAATGCAGAATGGCCACGCTCAGTTATATTGATGAAGAATACCCACAAGAACAATGGGTCAGAGTCTATACAGATGGGTCCGCAGAAAGTGCAGTTAGAAATGGTGGTGCTGGACTGTACATAGAATTCCCAGATGGTACTAGGGATAAGTCCAGCCTATCAACCGGAAAGTACTGCCATAACTATGATGCAGAAACTCAGGCTATCAAGATAGCAACAGAGAAACTGCTAAATACCAATCTTGGCTCACAGTATGTGGTAATGCTGACAAATGCAACATCAGTACTTGAAGCACTCCAGTATAGGAAACTACCAGAATTGCAAACACTGCTGACACAACTTAGCCTACAGCGAAGAGTTGTAATGCAGTGGATACCATCACACTGTGGAGTGCCTGGAAATGAGAAAGCTGATCAACTGGCAGGAGAAGGTGCGACAAAAGTGCAGCCAGATGTACCAGTCATATACCACCAAAAGAAAAGAAAATCATTAAATCAATCAGGAAACCACAAGCCCCAGCACAAGATGACTATTTTATTAAGGACAGATCAGAACAAGTCATTATTCTCCGCCTCAGAACAGGGCACAACTGATTACATAACCACATGTACACAAAATTCAAGATGGGTGTATGAGCCATGTGCACCTGTGGAAAGGTGCCCCAGACAGCAGAGCATGTACTCCAGGACTGCACCGAATTTGACACATTAAGGCAGACCTTTTGGCCAGAAAGAACAACAGTGGAACGTAAACTCTATGGACCACTGAATGAATTAACAACAACAGTGAAATTTATACAAGAGACAAAATTTCTGATATAGACAACTTATTTCAGGCGTACGAGAAGAAGAAGAAGATCTCTAAGCTTCTGACATCTTTGATAAACTGACAGTGTGGTAATAGGATTGCCTGTAAGTTAATTACAAATTGCAGGTCTCTGGCATTATAGGGGATAACATGATCTCCCTCCCCCCTTTGCCCCAAATAAAGGAAAGATTCTTAGTCAGTCCAAGCTATCCTGTCTTTTGCCATAACCAACTACTCACTCCAAGTTCTTTGCAAATTATTTTGGTAATTGAGATTTCTTTTGGCTTGTATGTATCACTTTATAGATCTTCTGACCCCTGCCTCATAGATCTTTTAACCTCTTATCTTGGTTAGCTGTGTGGTGCTTGTTTATTCTTCAGACTTTTACAATATTAGTTCGCCTTGCAGGTAAAACTGCTTTAGGATGGGTAACCATCCACAAGACAAACTCCTAAGTCACCTTTTACATCTTACTTTATAGGCAACAGTGTTGCTATAGTCTTTGTCTTGTCTAAAGACACTGATAATGCACACACCTCCATTCAGCATTGGGCGAATAGCGGACAAGCTGCTGTGCTGCCCACTTCAATCAGCGGGGCGGCAGAGGTCTCTTGCTGCTGTTTGACCAGGCTGAGAGCAAAGACCCAGGTCCTGACTATATATATATATAACTATATATCGACTCTATCATTGCTTTTTGATGCATTGGTTCTAAGAATATCATCAAACATCCAAGTGAATTTATTGTTTGATGTTTTAGTACTGACAATACAGAGAGGCAATGCCTTAAGGTACCCTCTGCCACTAACTCTGAATTAATAACAGTTTGGATTCCTACAAAATAAGAAAATGAAGTATATTGAATATCATTGTTGACCTGTTGAAGTGGATGCTTTGACTTTCTTGAACAATGGTGAAAACCTAGAGGATGCATGTGCCCTGGGCACATTTCATTAATTACTCAATGTTGAAACTAGAAGCGGGCACGCTGAATATACTGCTAGCTTGATCCAGTCTTCATATTAGAAAAACAATCCTTTAAAAATATTTGCAGCATGTTGAATCAGCTATGCCTACCACAAAAACAATATTATTAGTATCTGATTCTAATGGACACATTTGGATCCTGCTGTTGCTTCTACGTTCATGCAATGTGGTTTTCTTATCTAATGTTTTAAACCATTCTAATCTGAAAATAATGTCACCCCTGCAATTTGAATACAGACCACTCTGTAAACGATTACACTTCCAATTATATTACTATGGCTCAGACAAGTTGCATGTCTACCAATGTTGACAACAAAAGCTAATAACTGTTATGTTTAAAAATCTAAAACTAACAATATTCAGATGTCATGTGGTGACTGACAGCAGGAACAGTAACTCTGCAAATGTTTGTAACATACTGTACAAATTAACAACACTTAGTTCCCATGTTGGGGATAATTATGTGTAGTCACTGACCACTGATCTGTCAACTTGTGAATGAAAATATCTGTCTGGTAATTTTTATGAAGAATGTCCAGTTTTGTGCTATTGGTTAAATCAGTGTCGTGTTTACTAACTTCACATTTCTTTGTGAAATATTGCTAAGCACATTACTAAAGTTTGTCATGGTCATCTTGATTATTTATGCATTTAAAATGGTCCTGAGTAAAATGTATACCTAGTCTTTTAAATTTTGTATTGTATTTTCTGCTTTGTTGCTGTGAGCGGCAGGAATTGGTTTCGCAAAGTTGCAGTGTTGTTATCTTTTTCAGGCCCAGTGTGTGACAGTTATATTGATTTTTTGCTTTGTTTAAATTGTGTAAATTCCAATTATATGTATATTTTAACAGCCATTATTTTTTTATTTTGTGAAAAAAACCATAACCCTTTGAAAATAAAGTTTATTTTGCTCATTACATTAAATCTGTTGAAAACAATGTATGAATAAATCTTCTCAGATAAGTTCCTGCATAGACAAAACATGTTTCCTATACACCAACTGAAGAATTAAAATATACTTTGAAATAACATTTGCTTTTTTATTACTGGTGTATAGATAAAGATATATTCAGCTTGTTTTTTTCAGTGCGTTTGTTAGCATTTTCTTGACTTAACAAAGAACTGAATTAACACTATTTTGTTCAGATAAACCCCCCCCCCCCACCCCCCCCCACCCCCCCCCCCACCCCCAATGGTTATCTCCATTCTATCATTTTGAAGATGTTTCGCCATTGAAATAGATTAAATATATGTTGAGTTAGTCTCCAGCTGAAATAAATATTAACCTTTTAAGAATTATTTGTTTCAATTTTTTTTTTTTAAATTTCAACAACAATAAAAATGTGCATATAGTACGTTTATCTGAAAATAAATGTAAATCGTTTACTTTAATATGAGGAGAGAAAATGGTATAGTCATCTGATAAATTTAAATTTGAGGTTTTCCCCTATTACCGAATCTTTAAATCTAAAAATTATTTTAAAACTCCTATAGCTGGCATGATTGCAGACAAATTCAAAAAAAATACTATTGCATAACAATTGTTTCTTGTAGGTAAACTCACTTTCACACATCTAGACTGGAATGTGGTCCTGTCTTTGTCAGCTTTCTTTTCCAGAAATTTCTAGTATAATGTTCTTTTCAATTCAGATTCATAAAAATGGTTCTTGTTCTGTAATTTTCAAAATAGTTTTTATTGTACTTCAGTTTTTTTTTCTGATTTAAATACTCTGGTTTCATCTATGCCTTCCTTTATGTCTTGTTCTGTTTTATTTTTGTCTCCTGCTTATTCTCTTTGTATCTTCCGTTGCATCCTCTTTCTTTGATGCCTTGTGTCATCAGAATGTCCATATCTTTTTCAAATGCATTTTCATACCTTTTTCTTATCTTTATTAAGTCTTGTTTCGTGTATCTTTCTTTGATTATTGTTTTACTGTATATCTTAATTCTAGCTTTTTTTTTTTTTTTTTGCTGTTCAATGACCTGGGCTAAACTATCCCAAAGTTTATCTAAGTTTGAATAATTTCATTAACATTAACAGGTGGTACTTTCAGTGTCATGGCATTGTCGTGATATGCTTAGCTGTGTTAACAGTATTATGTGTCATCCTGACATATTTCAACCCCCTCCCCACAACAAAACCCAAATTTTTTATGTCTTATTTTTCTCAGAATCTGAATCTAATACCAGTTTCAGTTACTAGTTTAGAACATTAAGATCTCCATAGCTTTTTAGTGTATAAAAGTATGCTTCATAAAATAGAAGAGAAATATCCAGTTACTGCAACAGTAAATCCATTTTATGCCTGTACCTAATTTACTTAACCTCTTAACTGACAGTTCTTAATACTCACACTGCTGCAAGTGATTGTTGGCAAAGAGACATCCATCACTTCTGTATATTTTTAAATACCAGATTTCAATAACAAGTCCTGACATAAAACACAGGTTAATTTTGTAAATTGAGAAGTCTTGCAGCAATTTTAGACTTCTAAAACAGACATGAAAAACACAAAGTAAATATTTGTGCTTAAAATGCAGAGCTCATAACTGCATTTTTTTTAAAAAGCAGCTTTACTGATTTAAAAAAAAATTAAATATAAATATAGACAACTTAAATATGCTTTATTTCCATGAAAATGTATAGAACAAGTTCAAATAGTTTGTTACAGGTTCACCCTCTTAATTTGCTAGGCATCATTCCAGAGTTAATTTTGAAAATTAAACAAAATGTTGTTTTACCCTCAGCGCCCCTCAATTAACAACAGCAACCCAGAGATGCTGATTCTGCATAATGTTACAAAAGAGGATGAAGCCAGGTACACCTGTCTGGTTAGAAATGCCATTGGATCTAGTTTCAAGTCAGCATACCTGGAAGTCCTTGATGGTAACCTCTACTTTTCAGTATACAAATATTAAAAACTAACAATAAGTTAAGAAGAATTTTGTTTTAATTTTATCTGATCAGTTTTCAATATTTGCTGCTCAGAACTTGCGATGAAAACAGAATAATTATAAGTGTAAACACACATATTTTTATGAAATATGATTTCACGCAACATTAGCACATTTGTATAAACTGTAATACTGTAAATAAATAGATTTTATTTTTGTATGCACATTATGATGTATTTCTTCTTCTGCATTCAGTGGTTGTGAACTCTGATAGACAGTCCTCATTAGTCACCCATGCCTGGACTTAGGTGTTAGGACTTGAGTGACATGACTCACTTGGAGGTTAGGGGTCTGGCCTTATGTCAAACACTTAAAAGCAGACAATAAAAAAAAAAACACATTAAAAATGGCCAGCAAATCTTATATATTCAGCCCAACCCTCAATAAGATCATTCCAGTGGCATTTGAACATAGGGAAGAAGGCCTCGATTTACAGAGAAGTGAATTCCTGAATATGGAGCACAAGTAGGAGATGATACCATTCAGAGGCAGAGGCTGAACAAAAGGACAAAGGCTAGTTCAGATTTGTCTTTTGGAAAAGATATCCTACTTATTTCCACAGTAAATGGGCTGGAATGGGTCTCAGAATACAAGAAAACAGGGCCATTTAGGAGGGAGGAGAGTAGCTCAAGAGTAGTCAAGGTTTCATTATCACAGCGATCAGGCTTTTCCCATACTTGCAGCTCTTCATTATTGGCAATAGAGAGACTCAAATCGTTCATACTGAAGATATTGTTGATGGTGTATGAAATCATTATTTCCTTTGCCTACATCTTGTGTAAATAAAATAAGTAAAGGACCCTTTCCACGCCTTTAGGCATATAGGGCTAGATATATATTTTTATAGACCAGTCGGCACAAGATGGGTGATGTGGTCCGCATCACGCCGGCCGCTTTTACTTTCCTGGGACTGCACCCGGTACCCACTCAAGGCTGGGTTGACCTGGGAGCCAAGGTCATTTAAAAAAAAAGGTCCAGCTCCGCCACTGAGCAAACCTACAACCTTCCAATCCACGGCGAGCGTCTAGCTGCTCGGCCACGGTGACTCCCCTACATCTTGTGTACTGGAAGTTAATTTCCCAGTGGAAAATCTGGGAATCAAGAATACCAACTCTAGTTAGTAATGTATTTATTATTAACTTGAAACATGCCATTATGTATAAAAAATATATTAACAATGAAATTTTATGTAGAGCAGACTGCATGTTACATGTCTAGCGTGACCACAGAAGACAAATACAAGCTGTAATTGGGTCAAAGGGCTGCAAGATATTTTGAATCATGAAAATTATGTGAACATGCATGTTCATCATTATCATTACCCCATAAACGCTTATCATAATGTTTGCCAAAGTTTTTTGATGAACTAGACAGCTATTTAATTAATATGAGTGAGTGCACAATCAATATTATAATGCATTTTTGTGTATTTATTGTAGTTTGAAGTTTCTCCCACAGTTGGAGCCAAGTACATGACTTTTTCTAATAGAATAGAAATTTGAATACATGGGCATTGTAAACCTAATGGTTTCCAGTAGTATGTTTCAATATCAATTTAAATGTTTAGAATTCTATGCATTCCTTATGCCTCCCTCCATGGCTGACAAGAATGATTTTGAAAATTTATGAGATAATTTCTTCTTCTTTGCGTTCACCGGCTGTAAACTCTGGCAGATAGCTGTGGTTTTTCATCCTCTTCTAGATTTTAGTATTGTTCACGAACCTAAGTTTTGTGTGCACATCAGTTTTACAGATCTGGCTGTAATGCAGACTGTTTGTTCCTTCTAGTTATGTTTGAAACTGATCATGACTGCAATTTTATTGACTGGTAATTCTCTGGCAAAATACCTGGTTGTTGGCACCTTGAAGTCTTTTCAGAGGACAGTGTTCAATAGGCTAAAGGGAAGCATAGGAATCACAGCATGTGGTGATATCAGTTACAGCTTGGGTTCCTTTTTCTGCTATCCATAGCATAAGTTTTGGGCAGTGTTGTAGATACCAAGTGTTGCTTATGCAGTTGGATCCATCTCTTGGTCTGTTTTGTTAACTCTAAAGGAAAGGTACTGAGAAATCTGATATCCATTTCATAAAACTAGAACTAGACTTTAGAAAGGTCTTACAGGTTTTAACGTTGTTTTCTCTCTCTCTCTCTCTCTCTCTCTCTCTCTCTCTCTCTCTCTCTCTCTCTCTCTCTCTCTCTCTCTCTCTCTCTCTCTCTCTCTCTCTCTCTCTCTCTTGTGGAGGAAGGGATTGAATCTAGGAGAACTAACGTGTTGGTAGTGATTCTGTGTTTTTGGATCTTTTTCATTTGAGAAACTTATCAGCTTAACCAAACAGAAACTGGCTTATCTGTTGACAGATGATGAGATGACACCACAAACTGCAGCAAGCAAGTCTATGGATAGAAGTGCTGCAGAATGGCTAATCATTGTTCTGGTGGTTGTGTTTGTTCTTGTGTTACTTTGTGTTCTGCCAATAGTCGTGTGGCTCTGGCACAGACATCGCCTGAGAAAACCTACAGTTCAGAGACATATGAAAAGGATCATCATCATGAAGCCGGTATGATTGCTTACACTTTTAACACATTTGATTAGTGAACATTTATCATTCTTACAACTTTAATGGATTTTATATATATTTGTCAGGAACTAGGTTGTAAAACTATGTTAACTAATATTCTCTTATCGTTAATTACACTAAATAAACTTAATTAAATCATGTTAATGTCCTATGACTCATTTTCTGTATTCATTGTGTGCTTTTTCCACGTTTTTTTTTTTTTTTTTTTTTTTTATATATAACTTTTTGCATTCAGATTATTTGTGTTTTAGTCACTAGTAATTTTAGGAAACAATGTCTTCTGGTTTGTTAAATAATTTTTTTATGCATCACTGCAAGATTTTGTAATAAATTGAATTTCTTTGATGTCTTTAACCAGAATGACTTATACTACCACAACAAAGACCCTGATGCAGTTTCTCCACTAATGATCCCTCAAGTTCGTATTGTGGATGGGCAATACACAAGTAGTGCCAGTGATAGGAGGAGGCGACTCTCATCTGACTTCACTGAAATCTCAGAGTATGACCTGCCCCTTGACAGTAAATGGGAATTTCCCAGAGAGAGGTTCATTATATTGTCTTTTTTTTTCCCTTTTGTTTAAATCTATGTGTGAGAAATATGGGGACAAAGATTGATTTCTGCTCTGTCTAAGCATTTATGGTGCCTAATTATCACATTTTAGGATATGGTAGCATCATTATGGATAATCTACTGGTTTAAAGAACACATTTGGAGGGATTTTATAATCACGCACCATATTTCTTTAGTTCCTGTTTTTTCTTTGGAAAGATTATTCTGGGAAAGGAGCTGAGGGTCCGTTTTGAAGCACCTTGGTCTTCTATGCATGAAGTCCACTATATGCTATTATGGCAGTATAGGATTATATCAGCAGTAATTCCATTATAAATGCTGCATTGTTTCAGAAGTTAGCATTAGTTATAAAGTAAATGAAAACCCCTTCTTGTGTCTTGAGACTTTTAGGGCATTTGGCTTCATTTTTGTTTATTTAATTTTTTTTCAAATATTGTTTAAATAGTGTAACAATCCAATAAAATCTGTGAAAGTACAAGATGAATGCAAAAGAGTTTGAAAACTAAATGGATAAATGCGCAGATATGGTTAAGATACAGCTTAACTGTAGTTTTTAAAAAAGTACCCTGCGATAAGCACAGGAGTACATTTTGGATCATAAGAGTCACTTTTGTCTCCTTTAATTTTTCTACAGCGAAAACTAAGGACAGAATTTCTAGAAGAATAATCATTGTTAACCTTCATGGAAAGATAACAGCAGTAGTAATATTTAAGGTAACCACTGGAAAGATCTGAGGAAAGAGAGACAGAGAAAGACAGCCTGAGAAGATTCTTGACAGACAGAGTCTTTTGTCATGGCATGGAAGGGTTAAATACACAAACTGATACATACATTTGCAGATTGTAAAGAGGCATGATCGCCCTGGCCAATCGGCAAGGCACTTGATGATGATGAGTATTAAAGTAATATTTTGTGGTTGGGTCACCTAGATGAAATCAAGGAGCAAAATTAGTCATGAAGGCAATTAGTAAGTATTGAGAGAATTTATCACTATGCTGATTAATTAAAATGTTTGATAAATTAAAAAAAATTGTGAGGAAAAAAACAGTAAAAATATTTACTTAATATTGCAACATCACTTTGAATGTTTTGTTATAAAAGAAAGAATACAGGTAAAGACTTCACAAAGTTTATATAATTAGTCTTATATAATTAGTCCTATATAATTAGTCTGATATAATTTCATTTATAGGCTGAAGCTGGGCCCACGTCTTGGAGAGGGAGCATTTGGCCTAGTTGTGAAAGCCGAAGCAATGGGTCTTGTGAATAACAATGCTAGCACTACAGTGGCAGTGAAGATGTTGAAGAAAGATGCCACAGACCGGGAAATGATGGACCTCATTCGAGAAATGGAAACAATGAAACTTATAGGAAAGAATAAGAACATTATCAATCTTCTTGGTTGCTGTACCCAGAGAGGTTTGTACTGCTAATGATAATTACATAGTTAGTGCTCTTGTAGTTACAGCAATTAGCAAAGTGATACTAGTGTTTTCTTCAGCGGCTGTCAATTCAGCAGAAAGTTTTGGTTGTTTTTTTTATTGCTGGACTTTTGTTCCAGAAATTAGTTTTGCATTCACATCTGTTTTTTTTTAAATATTCAATTGCGAATCCTTTAAGGACGTTGCAGAACCAACTGTAGCATTTTTTTCTTGCTGTTGTGGTTTTCTAGGCACGTTTACGTCCAGTAGTTTGCCATTGCTTTTTGGACGGTCGGCTTCTCCGTACCACTGTGGAAACCAGCGCAAGGCCCGCAGCTGGGATCGAACCTGGCACCCTGGCATTAGGAAGCCCGTTCACAACGCCTAAGCCACAGAAGCCGACATCTGTTTTATATGCTTGCTGCTCTGTCGTTAAAACTTGTGTGAGAATTTTTCTGCTGGATGGTTTAATTCTTTTTATGTCATATGAATTGCATAGTCTTCTGCTTTTACTTTGTCTTCTCTATTTCTTCTCCATCCATGTCTTGCCATTTTGTGGAGCCTTCTGGTACAAGCTCTGTTATCATCATGTAACAGGTCCTTTGCAGAACATCGCTCTCATCAATCTGTCTAAAAGAAACTTTGTCTCTCGCCAGCTCTCCTGTCTCATGCACATTCGTATCGAAGGAGTCACTTATATCCCATGCCCATCTTCATTTTGGTCTGCCCCTTTCTCTCCTATCCTAGTACCATGCCTTCTGCTATTATTTTGTCCAATCCGCCGCAGTGCCTGATATGGCCAAAATATTTCAGCTTCCAAGACAAGATGATGTAGCCAATCTTCCTTGATATTCATATGTTTTAGAATGTCAGTATTTCTTCTCTTCTTTGTCCATGGTATTCTGAGAATCTTTCTTTCACATTTAAGCTCTCTTATATGCTGCATAAATGACAATAGTCTCCAATTTTGGATTATTTATAGGTAGACTTCTTGCCTTTATCAAACAATTTTCCCTCAGTATAAATGCAAAGAATCATTTGCACATTGCTGAAAGTTACCTTACACATTACTGAAAGTTAACTTAGTTCCTTGATAAACACAAGTCTTCATAATATTTATTCTGTATCACCTTATTAAACTTTGTCTAATTTTTTTTCAGGACCTTTGTATGTTATTGTTGAATTTGCACCATATGGCAACTTGCGAGACTTCTTGAAAACTCATCGGCCACCAGGTCCAAGTGATCCCCCAACATCAACAGAATATGAACAGCCCATTCTTTCTTGTAATGGAGAACTTAAGACATTAACCCAGAAGGATTTAATATCCTTCGCTTTCCAGGTTGCCAGAGGCATGGAGTATCTATCATCTAAGCAGGTTAGCCATTATAATTTTTACGTGCTGGCTTTAATTTCTTTTTAAATCTGTTGTGCTTCTGCCTGAGTAGTTGGTTAAAGGGATCAAGATTTCTATGTCTGTGTTAAAACCCTCTACCTCTTTTTGCATACACATACACACACACACATACATACACGCACACATATACTCTATCCTAATTTCACAGACCAGGCAATGCAGTGCCTGATAGATTGACTGCACTACTGACAGGTTTCACAGTAAACAAATAATTTTATTGCAAAGGTTGATGGACACATTTGAAAGAGAGAACCTCATGTATAATGTAATAACATTTGGTATGAGATTGGAGGTGAAGGCGGTAACTGCAGCTTTCCAGTGGCTTGAGAGCAGCCAGCCCAACATATGGTTATTGTAATGGACTCATCGAGCATCCTTCATAAAATAGTAACTGGCACCTACACCTAGAGTGGCTTGCTTCGCTTGAGAAGACTGATCTGGTGTGTATAACGGATTTTCTGTCCAGGATATTTGAGTGCGAAGTAATGAGCAAGCAGACTGATTGGCTGCTGCCACTCCTATGTTATGATGAAGCAGAATTGGCAAAAGATCTCTGAGTTCAAGTGGAGAGTGCAACAGAACAGACCAAGGATCCACACATTGACATACTAATTCAGCAAGGGGTAAGCAGGGGGTCTGGAAGATATTCAACACTGTAGGGAAAACATAGGTGGACTTTCAGTGAGGCTGCAACAGGTACTATTAGCATATTGACTCTTCTTTGGCTATGAAGAAGAAGACGGAGCACGTTTGGGACTGTCCCGAGTGCAGGGATGTCAATTCTTCATTCATACATACTATAAACAGAGACACTATCATAACACAGCTAGAAAACCATCGTGTGCTAGTCTTGCTTTCTTACTTTCCATGACTGAAGAACTGATCATTATTAAACATTTACTGTTGGAGATTGAACCTTTTGACATTTAATTATTTTAAATAAAACAAACACAGTACATTACACAGTTTTTACTTATTCAGCGAACTTCGAAATAATTCTATATTTATTTGTCATTCTTAAGACACATTAGGTGTATGTGCTGCTACTTCCATATTTGTATAGATATGTCAACTTTTGATTAGTGATGTAGTCAATACTACACTGACCACAGTGATATCAGAACATTTCCTGCTCCACATTTTAGCCTGCCTTTTTCTAGAATGGAGCCCTGGTCCATTTTCTTTTAAATCTCTGTTTTGTTGAGATTGCTTTAGTATGTGCTTCACTAAAGCATCTACACCTTGAGACATTTGCTGCAGCAGACGGAGCACCTATAGATATGCCCGGTATGCATCGATGATAATTTTAACATCAGTCATCATTAATTTCCCTTCAGCCATTCATCGTCATAGGGAGGAACAGTTTGCGAAACACTGCATTGTGGGCAGCAATAGCTATTGTCATTCCATGTCCATAGAGAAGCTCTTTAATGTCATTAATCCATTTTCTCCTAGGATGGCCTCTTGCTGTCACTGACAATTTGTTTCCATGGATAGTGCCTGTACTGGTTTTTTTGTTTGTTACAGTAATCATCAGTAATCAATGCTTCAGTAAAAACAAATTAATCTGATTATTTTATAGTGCAAAACATTAGTGCTTTATTCATTTTATTTGCTTTCAGTGCATACACCGAGATCTAGCAGCCAGGAATGTTCTGGTGGCGGAGGATTATGTGCTTAAGCTGGCAGATTTTGGCCTGACCCGAAACCTTCAACAGTTTGATTATTACAGGAAAACCACAGATGTAAGTGCAGAGGATGCTATGTTTCTCACGTTTTGTTCACACTACCACCCCCCTCCCCCACAACCAGACACACATGTGTGCATGCACGTGCGTGTACACACTCTGAGTCATCTCCACAGTTTAGCTTGGCTTCATTGCACTATTTGTAGTCTTTCTTTGTGGTGAGGCACAAGTCTCTTTAATCGTCTGATTTTAAAACAACTATCTGAAAATAATTAGGAGAATATTTTTTTTATTATCTTTTTTTCACCATGAAAATTGAACCCTGATACTCAGGGATCATGAAATTGTAGAATGCATTCACTAATACATTCCTTTAAAAAAAAGTTCTATGATTAATTAAACTCATAATATATCAAGCAGTTCTTTGTATTTATTGGTTATTCTATGCATATGTTTATGAGTCATCCCCTTTCTGTTCCTTCCATCTGTAGCATAAGGCCACTAACACTTTTGTACAAAATGTATTTACCTACATTAAAAAAATAAATTCAAAATATATAAAGATAAATGAATAGGGTTATCAATAAACATGAACAGAGTGAAGCATCAAACAGAATACATTCCCCAGAGCCTAAAAACAATATGTATCAAGTGACTTGTGCCTTGTGACCTTTCTCACTGTGGCTAATGGGAAAATGTGTCATCATCATGGCTTCAAAAAAAGCTGTTTGATTCAAAGAAAAACACCTCTGTTGGCTAATATATTCACATCCTGACCTTCTAAACATTTGTGCATGCCAGAAACATTACTGTATGTTACATAGACATACTATCTATATAGACGAGTCGGGAAAAGTGACATTTATGGAGAAGTGGACCCAACCAAAAGTGCTGATTTTGTGGATCCTAAGGGTGACAGGGTTAAGGGGGGGGGGGGGGGGGGGGATCTAGGTTACCATACCCATCTCTAATTAGCAGAAATGGGGGTGTATATTTTTTTTTTTTTTTAAATGAGGATTGACATGATGTTTTATGGTACAATTAGGCAAATTCTTTTATGACATTAATGTTGAGCTGTGGGTTTATCCTGCCCTTCCCACCAATATATGGTCTTTGAACCCACACAGGAAAAAAAAAACTAGTCAGCCTATCTCACAGCCAGGTGCGCTACCATTTAAACTCCCTAACAGAGCAGTGTCTCACATCATCAGTGACCGGGTCACCCAGTGGCTCGTTAGTAGGCAACTTCGTCACCAGTTGGGACAATATTTGGGGTCTGTCTTATTTGATCACATCAACATTGCAGGAGTCATTTTTAGGGCTCCTGGTGGCATGCAGTGCTTAGCCATGTTATATGGTCACATAACCAAGTCACAGTTATAACCTAATACTCCATTTAAGGATGCTGGTTGAAATGACAATTTTTGTTTCCAGCAAAGCAAAAAAAAAAAAACATTTCTGACATGAAGTGACCTTTATTTAACTGCATGTAAAAACTGCTATTATTTTCTTTTTTTTTTAGGGAAGATTGCCAGTCAAGTGGATGGCACCAGAGGCATTGTTTGACAGGAAGTATACATCAAAAAGTGATGTGTAAGTTTGTATATTTTCCCTCCATATCTTTACTATAAAAATATAATAATTTAGAATCATTCCCAAAGTGTGTGTGTGTGTATGCGTGAGAGAGAGGGAGAGAGACAAAAATATCTTATAAACAAGGAATTCTTTCTTGGATGTATTATATCTTTTGTTTCATAGTCTGTCATTTTCTTTCTTACCATTTTCCTCCTAATATAATTTTTAATTATGTTTTGCAGTTTATTTAAGTTTATTCATTAAATGAGTGTTAATTTTTGTTTTTCAAAGCTGGTCATTTGGTGTGTTACTGTGGGAAGTTTTCACCCTTGGTGGAAATCCTTATCCTTCAGTGCCAGTTGAGGCTCTGTTTGCTTTACTCAAAGATGGACATCGCATGAAGAGACCTCCGTATGCAAGCAGCAAGATGTAAGTTGTGCAAATTGCTTTTCTTTTAATTTACATTTTTGAATAATGTTTATTTTCTGCTGATGGTTATTTGTCATGTAAGTTACATTTGAGTTTTTGTAAACTTTTACCTCCCTTCCTGCTTATTCCTTCTTATTTCTTACTTTTTTAAAATCAATTTTCCATCTACTACAGCTATGTCTCTCCTCTAGACATTTATCTACTCACATCTATTCTTTTTCCTACTTTCATGTCCTGAAGAATTGATGTTTTACCCACTTCTTCTTTCTTGCATTCCTGAATGGAATTATGTTTTCACTCATGTTTCTTTTATTTCTTACTTTCCTGACCAGATGAATTATTTTGACACATTTTTTTGTCTTTCCTTTCTTTCTTCTCCTTCTTGGCATTTACCAGCTGTAATCTCTGGCAGAAAGTTCTGTTTGTTAACTTCTGGACCCTAGTCCAATTCCAAAACCCGTGTTTCATGCACATTTGTTTTACAGATCAGACCTGTTTGTGTGCAGACTGTTGGTTTCTTTCCTTTTAGACAGATGCACTCTGACTTCGAAAGAAGCTCCTAATTAGTCGACTCTTACAACATGCTTTTGGATAGGCAGTGGGTCTACTCATGTACCTCCCACTGGGGCCAGGAAAGTACACAGGGACCTTTCTTTCACTACTGTAAATTGTCATTAGTATCCAGCCTGAACCTATCTGGGCCGTAATAAAATGATATGGTTGAACTGGGTTTCTAGGATTTGAACCTGCTGGATTCTCATTTGAACGGGATTTACAGGATTTGTACCTGGGGTATTCTCATCTGAATTGGGTTTCCAGGATTTGTACCTGGAGGATTCTCATCTAAACAGGATTTCTGATACTTTTACCTAGAGGATTCTTATCTGAACAGGTTTTTCAGGATTTGTCTGAATGGGGTTTATGGGATTTGTACCTAGGAATTCTCAACTGAACAGGGTTTTTGGGATTTGTACCTGGAGGATTTAAATCTGAACAGGGTTTTTTGGATTTGTACCTGGGGTATTCTCATCTCTATGGGATTTTGAGATTTGTACCTGGGGGAATTCTCATCTGAACGGGATTTCTGAGATTTGAACGTGAATCGGATTTTAAAAACGTGGAAATTTCTGGTGTCATAAGAAAGTAAAACTTGACTGTCAATAGGGATTCTCTTCTGAACGGGATTACTGGAATTGATACCTGGTGGATTCTTATCTAAACAGACACTTTACACTTTGCCTCATTTGGTGTTAATCTCTTTATTTGCAGTCCTGGTGGAGCTTAACTGTGCACCGCCAATAAAGGCGTTCTTCAGTTTTTGACTAGGAAATAATGTTTTCAAATGTCTTCATTCTTTTTCTAACTGAAAGATTTATATTTTGCATTTCAAAATTACCTGCTTCTGCCTTTACACAGGTATGGCATCATGCAGCAGTGCTGGCAAGAAGATCCATCCAAAAGACCTTGTTTCAAGACATTAGTGCAGGAACTGGACTGTATGCTGACATCTTCGTTGAATGATGAGGTAGACTGTTAAAACTTCCCTATTATAAAAACTGGTAGTTTGTAGTTCATTTTATTTTTACCAGCTTGTGGCGTAATTCAGATCCCAGTTGTAATTAGTACACCTTTAGGTTTCAACTTTGCATGCTCCATTCTGGTAACCATGGTTGGTAATGGCCCCCCACCCCACCCACATACAGTAACTAGTCTCACATTGGTGCCAGATAAGTTTCATACATCACTCATTTATGCCAGCAGGATTGAGTGTTATGTGAAGGACCTAAACCTTCACACACTGTCTTATTTATATGCTCTCTCTCTCTCTGTCTCTCTCCTCTCTCTTTTCTCTCTCTTTCTCTCTCTCTCTATATATATATATACAAATATTTTTTTTCTCTCTCTCTTTCTCTATCTCCTGATTTCACAGACTAGGCTATGCAGTGCCTCATAGTTTCTGCTACTGGGAGGTTTCACAGTAAACAGATATGCAATCATAACATGACAAGAGAGACCAAGTTGTGCAAGTCTTGCATTTTATTTCCCATGACTGAAATACTGCTTGCTGATTAGTAAACATTGTGCTGTGGAGTCCCCCTTTTAACATTTAATTATTTGAAATGAAACGAACACAGTATATTACAGTTTTTACTTTCAAATGATTGCGAAGCTAACTGAGAAGTAATTATATATTTTTGTTCCAGGCTTACCTTCACCTGGAACCTTTGGAAAGTCCCATGAGCACCTCAGATTCACAATACTCTTCAATGAGTCACAGTAGCAGCACAAGTAGTGCACCAAACAGCACTCACAGCTCAGATAATTCTGCCATTGCTTGAATATGTGCACAGATATTCACTTTCAGAATATTGAACAGAAATGCACCTATAGTTAAACATCAGTTGTGCACCAAATAGCACTACGCAAATAGTCTGGAGAATAAGGAAAAGACAAGCATGAACAGTGAAACAACATCTGTAATGAACAAAAATGTGGTCTCCAATCTAACTTTGTTATGACAGTGTTGAGTTGCTTGCTTGCTCAGAAATACTAGTCCAAATATCAACTCGTTCACTCCCAGAATATTTCACAGCGAGTGTCCAGAGAGAAGGAAATAACCTTGGAAAAAGCACTTTCGGTTGTGCAGCAGAAATTCTGCTGCTTGTTTAAATGTGGCCAGATTTCTTCTGTATGCTGAGACTAAATGTGAAAGATAAAACTTATCTAGTATTGCTTGGGACAGAACTAATCAACTGACACAAGAAGTACAGTCACAGCTACTCGAAGATTAGAACTTACTGGTCCATGCAGAACTTCTCTAACCTTAATTTCATTCTTCTACAACAAAGACCAGTTTAAAAAAATTGGTATAGTCTTCACGTGAAAGTGCAGCTGTGATGTGTTGAACATATTTATATTCACACAAGAAGCTGATAAAACATGTATCTTTACCATGTGTCTGCCAAGTTGACTATTTCACTGTTGTTGGAAAATGAATAGTGTAATCTTTTATCAAGTATCCAACTGTGACTGAACGGGTCACTTTTAAATATTGTGGGAAAATCTCTTATTGAAATGATTTTCATCTTTATTTTGTTGTTACTTCATCATTACAAAGTAGGAAAGAGATAATGTAGACTTTCATGAGCATCGTGATCTGCTAATATGGTACTGAACAATGCTCTTTTGAAGAGAATAAAAAGAACAGTGACCATGTAGTTCAGGCAAATATAATGATTTTTTTTAATATCAATTATTTTCAAAGGAATTTGTAATATTGAACAATGAGAATAATGAGCCTGCAGTGCAGAAACCGACTGACTCTTCATACTGGTAGTCAAGGTATAATTGATGCATTAAAAACAAAAGTGATCAGCAAGCATGCAGAAACATGAAACCTTCAGAACTGATTACATGTGGTGTGAAGTTATTACCATGAACAGCATAAAGTGAACAGTGGCATTCAGTGCAGAAACAAACTGTCAGAACTGATTACATGTGGTGTGAAGTTATTATAATGAACAACATAAAGGGAACAGTGAGCATTCAGTGCAGAAACAAACTGTCAGAACTGATTACATGTGGTGTGAAGTTATTATAATGAACAACATAAAGGGAACAGTGAGCATTCAGTGCAGAAACAGACTTTCAGAACTGATCACATATGGTGGGAAGTTATTATATTGAACAGCATAAAGTAAACAGTGAGCATTTAGTTCAGAAACAGACTGTCAAAGCTGATTACATATGGTTTGAAGTTATTATAATAAACGGCATAAAGTGAACAGTGAGCATTCAGTTCAGAAACAAGACTTTCAAAACCCTATGCAGGATGAAGTTATTTTCACAGACTCAGTGGTGAGTGATACCTCTGTCTGAGCACTTCCTCTTTTTTGGTGAAATCCACAATTCACAGTGGACAAGAACATTCATTACCCGTATCAGTGTGAGAAATCCAGAGTGTCATGACAGGTGAAGCCAGCATAAAAGACTTTTAACTGTGATGTTTGCGGCAGAAACAATTTGTCACAGCCCATCCGAAAGCAGATTTGTGAGTTTCCACAAGATGTTGGCTAGTGATAATCTCAGGAAGTGTTAGTGTGTCACACACTCCCGCAGGACTAAAAGTTCTGGGCCATGGACACATGGCCTATTTTGTCAAGTGTATTGAATTACATAATGTGTACAAACTGTGAAGTATTTTTGCAACTGTTGTAATATGTTTAGTATGTTATGTATTTATTAGCTAAGTTGTTACATATTGTGTGATTGTGATCATTGCTATTGTCGTTGACATTAGTACTTAGATTACACCTAGTTAGAAAATCAGATTAAAATTATTCTTATTAGAAAGTATGAGTATCTTAACTGTATGTAGTAGTTAATCAGTTGTGCTTTGACCACATCTAAAAAGATGGATAAGCATTTCTGTGGTGTAATTAGATTATACTTAACAAATGCACACAAGCACTCTAATATGAAAAGATAGAAATATAAATGTTGGCAGTGTTAAGTGCTTCATTTCTAAGAAAATTAAAATCATATATGTTTTGCTGCGAAATAAATGATTGACCTAGCCAGGACAGCTAACATGGTCAGCGGATGGCTCATAAATTCTAGATATGTAATTGTTAAAAGATGCAAATATTGCAGCTCCATTGTACAGGGCAGTTAGGTCTACAAAAGAAATATATTCATTAGCTAAATAAGAGAATGCCTGACCTGTTCTCAGAAATTGGGATGCATCTGTAAAGTTAGAAAATCAACAGCATAGTTTGTTGTTTTGAACCTTAAGCATTTTTGCATCTTGATTTAAAATTGGTATCTGCTGTGGATACTTTTATTTAACTTGTGTATGCAATATAGATGCACAGAATAGTGCACAAGGGGATTGTTCTGCAAGAACTGGCATATCAGAAGTTTCTTTGATATGCTAAATTATTTGTGATGGTGTTTTAGATTCTTGTCTTCCACCTTGTCTTCCAGCCATAAGAGTAAACACTGAGTGAAATCAAATCAAATACTTCCACAGGCAAGGCAAACTATGAAGTGCATGTAAAAAATGCATACAGTGTTATTCACAAGTATTAAATATTCTGAGTACTTTTTTTTTTAAAACAGTCAGTCTACTCTGTATTCATGTCATAGTCAGAAATGTGTCCATATTGTGTAACCTTTATGGAGGATTAAATGAAAGTGTGTTCTCAAAGAAAGATTTGATAACACTGAACTCTTTCTAATGAAACAGGTGTATGGAAATCTTATTGCTGTGAAAGCAATAAGGATAGTGTTACTCAGGAAATGATCCTTCCAGGCAAATTATTATTAAATGTGTATGATAAGTAAGTAGAACTTTTATTGAAACACTTATTATTCTTTAGGAATTTCACTTGTCTAAATCAGTTCCAAAGTTATTTATTTAAATAAAGAGCTGTTGATTACATTCAGGAAAAATAATTGAAGTTTAAGTTAACCTTTACTGGTAAATTATTTGCTGTAGTTATTTCCCTTGTTATCTCTGATGCATTTATAAATGAGGGGTTCTATTAGGAAACTTTACTGTAAATTGTTTCCTGTTGGAAATAAAATGGGGGGGGGGGGGGGGGGGGGGGGGGGGGGGGGGAATTGTAAAAATTTCGGGTCTTGAGAGGTTAACAGTGCATCCAGACTTGTCTTTGGCTGTGTTTGTTTCAGTCACATGAAACTGAATATTGAATAAAATAAATGTATTTATGGTAGATAATAGTTCACTGGATTTCTAGATTTATACAGTATTCAGTAAGTAAATCTTAAGGTCAGTTAGTCTTTTTTTTTTTAAAGCACAGACACATTTTTCTCAGGAGTAAGATACAAACTAGAGACTCAAAAACAGCTGGGTTTTTTTAAATTTCATATTTTCTTAGGTTTTCATTTTATTTTGGTTTGGTTTGTAAGATTTTACTTTCAGCAAAAACAGATTGTAAAATAAAAGTAAAGGGCCTTTTCACACTGAGGCACATATACTGCTAGTCCCATATTTTTTTTATAAACCAATCAGAATTTGGCATGTGGTATGCTGCTGTACTTCTCATGAAATTTCCTGGTGCTAATTTATGTCAGGATGGCCTGGAAAAGAAGAATCATTTTTCACAAAAGCTCCCTTTCAATTTAAATTTAAACCCATGGCCATAGAGTCCACATATGCAGACAGATACGTCATAAGTAAACAAACTTTTCTTCCTATCAGTCATGCGCAAAACAGTGAATTTGTCATATCCACATTACGTCAGAATCAACTATTGCACCAAAAAGAATACATGTGTGTACAACAACCACATGTGCCATAAATATTATTGTTTGGGTAGGCTTTCTAATTTCAGATATACTCTCTCCTCTTTTCGATTTCGAACTACAGAAGGATTATTATGGGACATAAATGCCCTTTTTGATTCTGCAGCCTTAAGTAAGGCTAGAACTGAGAACACACCAGAAAAAGTCATGACACTGTTGACATGAATCTTTTTGACGTGAATCTTTTTATGTAAGATTTATTTTTTTGATTACTTTTGTTTCCACATCAGGTAACCCTAATAGAACTGGTTTTTTGTTATGACATGCTTGATCACATATGTAAACATATCACTCGCTTAGGAACAGAAGTGTATAATTTTTTTTGTATTGTTTCCTATTTTTTATTTCCAATCTGTCATTTGTATTTGCTTGAGTGAAACAGTGTTATTCAACTGAATAAAACAAGCGCACATTAATAATGAGTAAAGTGCTGGTGATAAAATAACATGAAATAGAGGCTTCTGTGGAAATAAGGTGGCAAGGAAGAATATGTTCTAGGCCAAGATTACAGTGCCAACATCTGCAAGAAAAAGGGGTCACATTTTTGCCCTGCTTGTTTAGTTATTGTGGTTGTAAATGGGGCACTCAGATAGCAGTAGCATGGTGACAAAGGATTCATGTACTCAAGCATGTAGATTGTAAAAAACTCAGAATGACAAGACTTCTGACAATCAAAATAATTCTCTTGTTTTTGCCCTGCGGCAGAATTACATTATTACTGCCAGTTACAGGGTTTGCTGAATGTTTTTCTTAGCCTTCTTCTCCTAGATTATTCTTTCTGTTCATCACAGCACTTTTCTTCAAGGTTATTCTTTCTGTTAATCACAGCACTCTTATCCCAGGTTATGCTTTCTGTTTATCACAGCACTCATCTCCCAGGTTATGCTTTCAGCTTATCGTAGCACTCTTCTCCTTAGGTTTATCACAGCTTTTTAGTTTATGCTTTCGATCACAGCACTCTTCCCCTAGGTTATGCTTTCTGTTTATCACAGCACTCTTCTCCCAGGTT